AGCAAACCCCCAGGAGCTGGGAGAGGCCCTGAGCAGAACCCCCTCCCTGCCCCAGAGGCAGCCAGCCCTACCCGCACCTGCACCTCCCAACTTCCGGCCTCCAGAGCATGAGCCCCCCGGTGTGGGGCTTTGTTAGGGCAGCCCCAGGGGCCCCAGTGCAGCTGTGGAAGGAGGGGATGGGACTAGAAAGGAATGTGAAGCCCAGACAGTGGGTTTTGGTTTTTTACTTTTTTAAAGAGAGAGACTTGAGTTTGTCAATGTGCTGAGAAGAGCCAGTGAAGAGGGCACAGCAAAGGGGAAGATGCTGGTCTGTTTGAAAGGGGTTGAGTGTGGCTAAGAAAGGCTTTGGGCAGACACTGGGGGTGGCAGGGTGGGGATGCTTTGTGCAAGGGTGGAAGGGGACCAGAGGACCAGAGTGGAGGTGGCTGCAGGGACACGTGTGTGTATGTGTGTGTGTGTGTGAGAGAGAGAAAGAGAGGGAGAGGGAGATAGGTTTTGCAAAAACTGTAGGGCATTACTACCTTCTAAAAAAAAAATTAAGTTGAAAGTAGCCTAGGATTCCTTCTGGGTCTAAAATTCTGTTTCTAGATCTTTGGGAACTCAGTAACTATTTGAATACAAATTATTGTTTATTAACAGTATTGCCATTTTAATTTATTGTATGTGGTGTATTAAACCTCATAGGAAAACATATTCCTTGTATCTTTGCCTGTTATTAAATTCCAAACCCCAAACTCTAGGGCGCCACACATGTAAACCACGGGAGGCATATTTTGTTTGCCTTTGTTTCTTTGAGTCTGAATCATAATGTGACATTTTGGGTGTCTAGGAGGCAAGCTGTGATCAGCACGCGGCCACTACACAGTGCCCTCTTTCTGCTGGGCCTTGCAGCCTTGGGGTGAAAATCTGTGTGAGGTCATCTAGGGTACAGGACAAAGATGCCTGGTGCAGTTACTATGAGGTTGTCACCTGTACAGGGAGTGGGGGGCTCAGGTTTCATCTATCTGGGTCCTGTGATGCTGAGCAGAAGGCCTGGGGGCACGGCTGTTTCTTTGATCCAGTTCTGCCAAATTGGGAGGGAGATGAGGTGGTTCAGGTTGCAGAGTTTTTTTGGGGGTAGAAGGATGGATCCCTTGTGGGCTCTCCACCAGCTGGGCTTCTCTGTGGCCCGAATCTGCTCCTAGATCTGATGATCGCTTAGGAGCAGGGGTTTGCATAAGCAGCCGGGAACTCTAGGATTTGCCGTCTGAGTAAGCTCCCCTTTGCAGGGCTGGCTCCTTCATCCTTGCATGAATTAGGCAAATATTTGCAAGCACCTGGCATATGCAAAGGACTGCAGACATTCCAAGCTCACCAGCCACCCCTCCTGAGGTGCTGATAGAGAGGACGTGATAGAGAGAGAAGCCCTTTTACCTTCCTGTACTTTTTACTTTTTTCTATAACATTTATCACCTTCCATGATATATAATTTGCTTTTTATTGTGTTTATTATTTATCATCTCCACAATTAGGATGTAAGCTCCACTAGGGCAAGATCTTTGTGTTTTGTACACTGATGTATCTCAAGCACCCAGAGCAGAATCAGCTCTGGGTACTCAATAAATATTTCTTTGTTGAGTTAATGAAGAAATTCAATATGGTAAATGTCATAAGTAAATTAATGTCAAACTGCTATAGATGTAATATCTGTATTTATAGGTAGGATTCCTCCCTCTCTCTTCCAACCTTCCTTCCTGACCTTCTCTTTTTCCTTCTCTTGGTAGTGTATCCATCATTTGAGGGCTTAGGACGACACACAAAAGGAACACCAAAATAATTGATATTTACAACAGACATTTCCTGAGACCTTTGTAGAACCCAAATTTAAAAAAAAGAAAAACAGCCTCAATGTAGTATGTAATTTTCTATCTTCTTCCCCTCCCAAGTAAACCAAAACACATACTTGATTATGAGTAGAAAGCAAAATGGCTGTGTTAGTTATCTGCTGCTGGGACACAAATTACCCCCAGATCCCCAAATGATCCACAGCAAACATGGATCATATCACACAGTTTCCAAGAGTCAGGAAGCCAGGAGGGTCTGTTTGGGTGGCTCTGGCTCAGTCTTTCATGAGGTTGTGGTCAAGGGCTGACTGGGTGTGTGAGAGCCAAAGATTTGACTGGGGCCCGAGGATCTGCTCCAAACTCACTCTCATGGTTGCTGGCAGGAGGCCTCAGTTTCTCGGCACAAGGACCTCTCCATCGGGCGGCTCGTGACACGGCTTCCCCCAGAGTGAGTGGTCCAAGGGTGCAGGAGCATCAAGACAGAGCTGAAGTTCTCTCCAGTTGAATATCAGAAGCGACATATCACTTCTGCCATACACTACTGGTCACACAGACCAACCCTGGCTCAGTGTGGGAGGCATCTACTCAGGGTGTGAATCTCAGGAGGTAGAGCTCGTGGGGCCATCTTGGAGGCTGGATCCCATGAGAGCAAATCCACACGGAGATGCAGGTGCCCAGAGGTCAGCTAGACTCATACACAACACGTGCAATTCAGATTCATGGTGAGCAAAATTCACACCATGACCTGTCGTTGCCTTTGAGGTTCCTGCTGAATTGTTGGCATGCAGGGGAAACAGGTCTGCTCTGAGTGCCATGTTTTGGGATTCCCTCAGCCTTCCTGGGCCTCTCTCATTTCCCTTCTGTCAGTGGGATTGGACCATACTGGTAAGTTCCTGTCTCAAACTGCATGACTCAGAAATTCAGCTTCAGTGACTCAGTCAGTAGAAATGAAAAACTCTTCAAAGAGAAGAGGGAATTTGTATTTGAAAAGCCCCACTGTATTCAGGTGGACGGACTGTGCCCCATGTAATGTAGAGAAGGAAGTGAGAGAATGATGAGTAGATCTGGTGGCTGGGACTCTAGAAGGGCCTGTTGGGAGGCAGGAATCACACAGTTTGGATAAGTAAATGAATCACTGGGCTAAGCCACAATTTGGATGTGGTCTTACAGGTAGTCAATGTGGCAGAGATGCCTCCACTAACATCCACACTGCCCTCCACAGTGTCAGTGCAGTGAGAAGAGGCTGCTCAGCCAGGGACTACATTTCCCAGAACCCCCCTCTCATCTAGGTAGGGCCAGCTGACTAGTTCAGGCCAGTGGCAGGTGAGCAGGAGCGATGCTCTGCACTCCTCCAAGGTGCTTGAGAAACAGTTGTCTTCTCCACTTGCTCCGTCCTCCTCCTGCCTGGATGCAGAGGACCTAGGGCCCTAGGGGACAGAAGAGCCTTGATGAGTGAAAAATGTCCTTCATTACATGAAACCCTCCAGAGTTAGGGTGTTCTTTATTGTTCTAGCAGCTACCACTGCCCTAACATACATGAGAAAACCTTTTTAAAGTCTCTCAATAGGGATTTCAAGAGAAAAAAAATGGTCTTAGGAAGACGAATATGCCATTGATGAGTAGGATGGCTGCAGCCAGGGGAGAGAGATACTGAGGGTGAAGAGAGTGGTCAGGAAGCTGTTGCAGGGACTGGCACAGGTCGTGAAGAAGCACAGTGTCCCTCGTTCCGCCTCTGCTTCAAAGCAGGATTCATAGAAAAGACAAAAGTGATGATAACCTTTTATTTTTTTCTTTTCTTATTACATGCCAGAAATGACACTATATGCTTTATACACATTACCTCATTTACTTTTCTTAATTTCTTACTTAAATTTTTATCTCATTTACTTTTCTTAATTTCTTACTTAAATTTTTATCTTGCTACGTACGTTAGGCATCAAAATCAATTTTTAAAAAGCAAACGAATCCATGCCTTTAAAAAGGCGATTATGTACCACCCAACCTAACACAGAACAAACCAGAAAAACCCCTGTCTCCTGCCCTGTCCAACATCATGACTTCCTACTTTAGAAGACAAGGGTTTGGGTCTTCTGCACCAAATCCCACTATCCTACACATTTTCTCTCCCTCAGATGGATAAGATTTCAACAGCAGAATGGGAGGTAAGATTTCTAGACAGGAAAAACAAACATAGCAATAATTAGAATGGTACAAAGATTAGCCAGGAAGGCTAGAAGGAAACAAAAGTGAGAAAGGTAGGTTGGAGAGGCACCAGACTAGGCAATTAGAACTTAATCTGGTGTGCAGTAGGGAGCCACAGCAAGTTGTAGGCAGGTGAGTGACATGAGAGCAGCTGTCCCAGGGGATGGTTATCTGCGCAGCACCATTGTAGTATGGCTCAGAGCTAGGATCACAGGACAGTCCAAGAAGTTGGCCATTTGTGCATTCATTCATCCATTCATTTATGCTATCGACTTTTTCGATTATGTACAGGCCTTCATTAATGCTTGTCTCCCTCAGTGGACCATACTTGCTGTAATAGCAGAGAGAGCTTGCGCCTTTGCTATCTGCTCTGTCTCAGCACCAGCATGGTCCCTGGCACACTGTAGGTGTTGAGCAAATGTTTCTTAAAGGACCAGGAGACAGACAGTGGGAAAAAGGAGATAAGTAGGGTGGCAACCATGTTGAAAGAGTTGGAGGCATTTCAGAGAGAGACGTGAACTTGGACACTAATGGGAAGGCAGGAGCCTGCAGGCGGTAGGTCACAGGGACTCAGGTGATGAGCTGGATGATTGACAGAGTGGTGGTGTCAGGAGCAGGAATACGAGGGTTTAAGGGGTATTGGTTAATGTGCAGATGATTGTTCATCTTGAACAATATTTGAATAAACAAATCATTGACCACATTCAGTCTGTTGTTAAAGTCAACCCAAGGGGGTTCCAACTGGACTGGGGATTGAAACTGGGTTTCAACCAAGATACCGCCTCACTCTGTTGTCCCATCCCAGCAATGTGGCATTAAGCTCAGGTGCCGGCTCCACTCTGACAGCGGTTTCCTTTTGGCCATTTATAAGTGTCCAGCCACTTCCACACGAGCAGAATCAGGTCTGACTGGTTCGCTGCTCTATCCCCAGTGTGTGGCACATAGCAGGCATTCAATAAATATTTGTCAGACCGACAGGTGGTTTTCTGTACCAGGCATTACCTGTTTAGCTCAGCCTTTTGGAGGTCAGGGAGGAGTGACAGTGGCACTGAGAAGGTGAGTATTGGGGGAATAGGGAGGGTCAGGCAGTTTAGGCTCCAGGATCCATGCAGGCCCAGGTGGTGAAGCCAGCTGGGGGAATGGAAACAGATTCCTCCTGACAGTTTGGGTCATGGAGATAATTCTGACCTCAGACACTCGTTCTAATTCTTGCTAAAATCAAGGGTGAATAATTAGAGGAGTGAGGCCAGAGGGAAATCCACAGGCTTGTTTCAGCTGCCCAGACTGCAGGTTTCAATCAGCTGACACAGTGGGCACAACAGAGGAGCTTGTCACAGTGGGTGCCCATCTCCTGGGACATGAGGTGCTCCCTTCCTCCTGGGGACCAGTCCTGCTCTCTGGGAGCAGGTGCCCTGTGTGGACTCTCAAAGTCACCTCTGGAATGCAGCCTTCGTGTTGGAGAGCATGACCCGGGGATTATCACCGAATTTGTCTCATCCACAGTTAGGCTTCAAGGCCACTGTCCCTTGGAGAACAGAACTGGGATTTCAACATCTATGAAAGGGTTCCATCTTCCTCCAAAGAGACTCCAAAGTGTCAGGTGTCCAGTGAACCTGCTTCTTGCAGGCATGCCACCCATGTTGAACCCCATAAACCAGGAAGTGTTGATCTTGCTGTGTGTCTGTGTGTGCACACACACGCACATGTAGCCAGAAGTGGGAAAAAGAACCCCAAACCTGGTGAAATCTAGAGGTTGCCAAACCTCTAAATTTGGCATCAGTGTGAGCTGGAGTCAGCTGAGTGGTCCTGGGTGTTTGTCGTGTGTGGCCCGGGCTGGGTTCCCAGTTGCCAGTTGTGAGAGCGTGAGAATAGTGTGATACTGGCACCAGGGAGAAGCTAGATAATGAAGTTCTCACCCTATTCTCTCATCGTAGCAACTACTTCTTATTTATTTTTGTTTATTTTATTCTTTCCAACTGTGAAATAATACATGCTCTTTATGAAAAACTGCAGAAACTATAGAAAGATGGAAAAAAAGAAACACAGCACCTTGCCCCAACCCTCAGAGAAGGCTATGTTAACATTTAAAAGTGTTTCCTTCCAGACCCGTATCTTAGCATCATTTAAAAAACTAAAGACATGTTCATGCTCTATGAATTGTTTTTGAATTACTCTCTGGGGAAAACAGAAACATATTTAGTCTAAGAGTAAGAAACTTTTCCACATTATCATTTTTCATGTTATTACAATAAACTCTATAAAAACCATTTTAATAGCAGACATACTATTTTATCAAATGAATTGGCCATAATTTACATAATGAATCTCCTACTAGATGCAAGAGAGTCTTAGATCCTAAGTCTTCATCTCTAATTGGACCTGGGAGCTCTTCATATTTAGTGATACTGACAATGATGATATAAAGATGTATTTGTAGGGGTCAGCACTGTTTAGTTACAAATGTATTTTTAAAAAGTGTTTCTTTATTTCACCTGTTTGAGGATTGAAATTTATCCCTGAAGGACAGATTTTATTAACTGCTGTATTTATGTGGGAAAAAAATCTTAGTTCGGTTAGTCTTCATTTTTTAAAGCAGGTGGAATAAGTGGATTGGCTTTCTTGAAAGAGATCAAACTAAAGCAGTTTGTGCTTGCTTTTGGGAGCCTCTGCCACCTAGCTTCTTTCTGGGGCTCATAGATACTGCCCAGGCGCCTTGCCCATGAAGGCCCTGTGTTGCCCATGCAGCAAAAGATTCCCACTCATCGGGAGCATGCAAACATGCCCCTGCTGACCCAGGAAGCCTGTGGCAGCCTCAGTTTACCTGCTGTCACTTCAAAATCCAACGTCCTTTTCTAGCTCTACAGGGAGCAGATACTGCCTGACCTCAGGGATAGTAGCTGCTCCAGGGTGAGGTGTCCCCTTGGGAGGCCCAACTGGACATGCCACTGTGGATGGAGCCACTCCCCAGGAAACAGTAGTAAGACCTGCACACTGCAGCTCCTGGTGGCACTGTCAGATTGGCCGAGCAGGAGAAAATGGCTCCCTGGGACCCTATAAATGACTAACCCAGGCTCCTCCATCCAAAGACCTGTGTCAAAAGATTCAAGACACTTCCCTCAGCTGTCTGGGCACAACTGGGCCTTTGTGCGTTGGGGTCAATCATGGCTCCTAATTGGCAGTGTAAACAATGGGCCTCTGTGTTTGTTCCCAGAAGACAACAGCGTTCTGGAACAATGACACGCGTTTCAGTGTATGGAAAAAAAAAAAAAAGAGCAGAGCCTGACATTCCAGCAAAAATCTCTTTGGAGAATCCTGTACTTATCGCTTCAAAGACCTTGTTATACATCGTCCAAATGGCTGCAGCAGCGGCCTCCAGCACTCAGCAGGCCACAGTCCCTTTGTGGGGATTCTGTTTGCATGAGCTCTGGAGATGGGTGGGTGTGGAGCACCAAACTGTGCAGCGATTAGCAGCTTGCCAGGCTTTATTGGGCTTGGGCTTCCTGTTAGGGCCTCATCTGCAGCCAAGTACCTCCATCCGAGGTCCAACTCAAGCTGAGTACAGTAGCCATCGAGAAGAAAGCAAGCCTCTCTTCTACACAAATAACCCCCAGAGGACTTTGGGGAGTTCCAGTGAGCAGGGCTGTCAGGCCATGGGGTCCTTGGAAGAGGGGAGTGAGAAGACACTGGTGGCCAGACCACTGCACAAGTAGGGGCAGCTCCTGTGGCTGTCTGTGGTAGCAGTCTCCTGGAGGAGTCCTCAGATGTGTCCCCAGGCTCTGTAGACCCTCCCCCTTTGCATCCCAGCTGTGGTAGCTTGTGGCTCTGGGGGCAGGGAGAGGGGCCGAGCCAGTAGCCATGCCCCAGGCACTGCTGTATTAGTCAGGGGTTTGCAGAGAAAGAGAGACGGACAGATAGACAGATGGACAGAAAGAGTGAAAGGGAGAGCAAGGGAGGGGGGAAGGAGAGGGAGAGAGACTTATTCTAAGCAATTGGCTCAGGCAAGTGCTAGAGCTGGCAAGTTCAACATTTGCAAGGCAGGCTAGCAGGCTGGAGGCCCAGGGAAGGATTGGTGTTGCAATTCGAGTCCGAAGGCAGTCTGGAGGCAGAATTCCTTCTTCCTCAGGGGACCTCAGTTTTTTTCTCTTCAGGCCTTCAACTGATGGGATGAAGGCCATCCTCGTTGCAGAGGATAATTTGCTTTACTCAGAGTCTACTGATTAAATGTTAATTGCATCTAAAAAGTCTGAAAAATGCCATCATGGTAACATCTAGACTGATGTGTGACTAAACAGCGGTACCATAGTCTGGCCAAGTAGATGACGTGTAGTATTAATCATCACAACCACATGCATATGGTAGGTGGTTCCTCGGTGTTCGTACGCTGCACAAAGGAGGCCTAGGGTCTCCCTCGCTGGTCCCCAGGCTTGCTCTTCTTCTTGGAGCCTACTCCCATCTGACATCCTACATGTTTTTTGTAGTTATTTGCTATCGCCAACCCTGGATTTGTGTCTGCTTTGTCCTTATTGCCCAGAGAAGGGCTTGGCACATACTAAGCATTCACTAGATCTTTGCAGAATGAATGGATTTGAAGGATCATAATGAATACCATCAGAGCATTAAGCCAAGTGTGAGGTCCCTCTACATGTGGGGCCCCATGTGACAGCCCAGGTCCAACACCCCTGCCACACCAGCTAGTTTATGGCACTTCACAGCACTATGCTCAACATGGTCATCACTGAATTGTAGGTTTTACCTTCTCCACAGAAGTTGTGAGCTCTGAAGGGCTGCGGCCACTCCAGTTATCTTGATTTCCCAGTGCCTGGCACAGTGCCTGGCCCAGATGGATGAGCCCAATAAGATGCTAAATGATTGAATGAATCAATCGATTACTTCATTATTAATTCCTCACAGACCTTTGTATTCTTGACAGCCTCCAAATTGTCATTTCAACCTTTGCTTCTTATCCCTTCCCACAAGGAGTAAATATAATTTGACTCTCAGAGCCGTTCTGGGGAGCCTGAAATCACCTGGCCACTTTATAGTCAGGCCTGCCACTCATTTCTCCCAGTTGTCTGCACCCTCCTGCATCCAAGAGTTGGACGGACTTCTAACTGAGCCTCTCGGTAGCCTCCTTAATCAAGTGGAGGGACCTCAGTGATTTTGAGGGATTTATGGACACCCACCTACCATTCATGGAATTTTATAGCAATATAGATCCATGAGATAATCATTCAGAGAGATATTAAGGTAATGAAGGTGAGAGTAAAGTGAAGCCCTGGTCCTGTTGGAACTCCATTAATCATCGTTTGTGGCTTCAAGAAACAGTTATCATCCCAGCCCATTAAAGAAAGTTGTCAATTAGGCACCATGTGAGACCTCAGAAAATTGTTCCCTGACGAGAATGTTCGGAGGGCAGCCACATCCCTGTGATGAATTTGTCTCCAGAGAGGCCAGTATGGTTCCCTGGACAAAGCTGGGTACTCGGGATTCCACACAAAATATCCTTTATACACCAGAGTTCTGAGGAGAATCCGGAGAAGACAGACTGAGGAAGAGGTTAGGAAACCAAATGTCACCATGATGGCTTCCTGAGGTCAGATTATCACCCACTTTTTAGAGAACTACTTATTAACCTCAATTCAAAATTTACAAATGCTTCAGGTTATTTTTATAATGGCATAATATATATTTAATAGCATAAAAAGTACATATAATAGCATAAAATATATTTTAAAAACAGCCCCTTTATAAAATGACTGAAAGATTGGTACATGACGCCTCAATGTGTCATGATGCAGCTGTTTAATGTTTACAAACGCTCATAGGTTAAGCGAGAAAAGCGAAGTACGTGAACACAAGTAAGATGTTGAACCGGGAGGTAATATGACCACAGCTGCACAAAAACGTCTGCGTACAGGAGAAAGGCTAGCAGGAAAAGCACCCCAGCTGCCAATAGCTGTTGCCTTTGGGTGGTGAGATTATTGGTAACTGTGTTTGTCTTTTACAATTTCCTATATTCTCAAAATGTTCCATGTAGAGCAAGGGCAGACCGGCACAGCCCTGGGCGGGGGCGGCTCAGCTCTGCTCCCCACTGTGGTGATAACAGTCCCCCCGATTCTCTCTTATTGGAGGGCCTGCTCCTTACTGTCAGAGGACTGACAGGGGAGGTATTATTGTGGTTATTACACGGTTTCGGCTCCCCGACTCACTCACCACACCTCGCCCTCTCAGTCCTGGGGCCTGGCTGTGAGATGGGTGTCTGACCGAGACAAGCCAGTCAAGTTGACCAGACCCTCTCCATTATTCTTATTTGAACTATTGGGAAGCCAGACTCTTCCCCCTCTGGGTATGAAGCTGACAGCATCTGAGGGCAGCATCCACCTGGGCATGAAGCCAGTGGAATGGAGCTGAGAGATGGGCAGCGACATGTCCTGGTAACATTGAGCTCCTCCTCCTAGAGCCACATCTGGAGGATGTGGAGCCGGCCCCTCCTCCAGCCTCTGCAGCCAATACATTTTCTTGTGCTTAATTCCATGGGGTTGGTTTTCTGTCATTTGTAGCCGGAGGAGCACTTTCCCGATACCCACCCCTTGAAGAACTTCTGTCCAACTGGGGACAGGTAGACAGATGGCTTCAGACGAGCAGGGGGTGTTTGGCACAGGGACCTAAAGGAGGACGGGGAGCTGAGCCTGGACTCTGGGGCATTTCCTGGACATGTTAGGTAGAAAGATAGACACAAGCAGCCAGGGAAGGGGAAAATAAGGTTCAAGGAAAAAACTGCCTGAACTCTGCCCAGGTAGGGGGTCCCACGAGAAGACAACAAAGGCTTTGTAGGGAGATAATATCCTCACGCCTGGCACCAGGCCAGCTGGTTCCAACCTGACCCCAACATGGGTGCAATCAAACAAAACTAAGAACGGCCCAAGACGTGCCTCATCATGGGAAAGGACATGCGCATTGAGAGGGATGGCTATATAGATGGACCTGTCAATCAGTGAGCTCACCTTGCCAATCAAAGGGGAGCCTCCCAGCCAGAATACCATCTGAAGTCCTCCCGCCTAACAGATCCAGGCCTTAGTCTACCTTGCCTCTGGCCAGTTCCTCCCTTAGTGTATTCAAATAAGACGTACGCTCTGCTTTGCTGTGGTGTCTCTGCCTTTCAAGTCTTTGTTTTGGCAGGGACAAGAGACAAGGAGAGCAGACTCAACCTGCAGCAGAGGAATGGATGCCTGAGCTAAGTTTTATAAGAGGGGAATAATACCAAATGATTTCACTCATCTGTGGAGCATAAGAACAAAGAAAAAAGTGAAGGAACCAAACAGCAGAATCACAGAACCCAAGAATGGACTAACAGGTACCAAAGGGAAAGGGACTGGGGAGGATGGGTGGGAAGGGAGGGATAAGTCGGGGGGAAAGAATGGGGGTACTACAGTCAGCATGTATAATATGTGTGGGGGACACGGGGAGGGCTGTGCAACACAGAGAAGACAAGTAGTGACTCTACAGCATCTTACTACGCTGATGGACAGTGACTATAATGGGGTTTGTGGGGGGGACTTGGTGAAGGGGGGAGCCTAGTAAACATAATGTTCCTCATGTAGTTGTAGATTAATGATACCAAAAATAAAAATAAAAATAAATAAAAAAGAGGGGAATAAGTCAAATGTGGGGCCTTTTAGCATCTGGTGTGCCTGGAGCCCATGGGGTGCAGTAGCCCAGTGTGAGGTGGACTTGGTGGGGCCTGAATTGCTGACATGCTTCTTGGTACCCAGGCCGGGGGAGTCCAGAGGCCGGGGTGGGAAGCCCAGACCCCGGGCTGCCAGCGCCCAAGGTGCAGAGGGGCTCTCCAGAAAGCGCCCTGGTTCCCTCAGTACCGGAGGGGAAGCCTCTGTGCTCTATCGGGAGGGAATGCTGTGTGAAGGAAGGTTGCATTTTCCTGTGGTCTGGCTCTGGACTGCCAGATCAAGCTCCAAGGAGGGACATCCGGGGACAAAGAACAAACCTAGCACCAAAGCCCCTGGGGAGGAAATTTACCGTGAACATGCGTGGTTTTGGATTTGCAAGAATATATCCTATGTATCCAGGGTGGGCAAGGGGTGGGGAGTTTGGGGTGAGGAGCTGGAGGTATGTTTTCCTTCTGCTTCTGGTAAAATGTATTTGCAATAGAAATACCATTCAATAAGTAAGTAAATAATGAATAAAACATCAAATACTGCTTTGGGTTTCCACTGACAGCAAGCAAAGCACGTTCAAGCAGATCATCGGAACTAGTGATAAGAAAGGAGGCTCCAAGTGCAGGAAGAAGAAACTGCACTTGACTGATACTGCCGGAGGGCCTGGTCTGGAACATCCCTGGGTAAACACTGAGCGAAAGGGGGACGGCTGGTGTGGAGCACACAGATCCGAGGGAGGGCTTCAGACGAATAACCTCTGGAAGATCTGGGGATCACACTGTGCGAGGTAATTTCCTAAGGGACCGTGTTGAAGTGCCTCATTTTATTGAAAATTGGACTGCGAAACAGGGTCAAATTAAGGGACCTTTCTGAGCAGGTACCTGAGGGGCCTCTTCTCTCTAATTACCAGGATCGCACAGTTAAAACAACCCCCGTCGTTCTACCAGGCTCCTGAAGGTGCACAAATGCAAAGCGCCATGTTTATCTGATATTCTCTGGAGTGGTCCACCTACCAGAGTAATGCAAACGGTGTATTAGGTTAATTGCTATTGCAAAACAAAAACAAAAACAAACCTCCAAATGCCCCCAAACTGCTGGGAATATCTGAAAATAAATGCATAAGACCTTGCAAGTAAAAATACAGTTGTGGCCCCCAAACCTCTTTCCTCATAAATCCGGGCAGTTAAAAGTATGGTGACCAGATTATGTTAACCCTTCTGATAACAAACCAGAGAAGTCCACACAGATGGTGAGCTGCACCAGGAAGCTCAGACCTGCCCCGGTGACGGGCACCTTGGTAGTCTCGGGGATGACCTTGAACCACACCTCTTTTTTTTCTCTGTTCCAATTCACCCTGATTGCAGGATGTGACATTAACCAACGAGTTTCTCTGAATATTGATTAAAAGATGGACTCCAACTTTGAGAACATTAGACAGTGAAGTAAATGTTTATTTTCAAATGGAGAAAATGTGGTCTTGAAAGGAAAAAATGTTTTCTTTGTTCTGTTGCCAAAATTCTGTCCATTTTGTCTCTATTTCAGTCTGTTTTTCCTTCTTGCCGTTTCTTCCGTCTTATTCCTCCATCCTTTCTCCTCCTCCCCTTCTCTTCCTTTCCATTTTTCATTGTACAATACACTGAGAATGGGTGGCTTCATTTTGGAAATTTACAGCTGGGAGAGGTGAGTGGGGCGTTTGGGAAAGACTGGTCCACATTCACTTAGGAAAACAATTGCTGTTTGCAGGATGATGGCCTCCTGCCGGGGAAGTGCTCTCCCCAGCAGAGAGAGCAAGCCTGCCTGCCCTAGGGCCTGCCAGGTGTGGCTCGTGTCCCTTGCCACGCCACCTGAGTTAGCTCCCTGCCGTGGGTAACTGACCTCCTTTCTCTGAGTCTCCTGGTGGAACAGCGGTAATAGACCTTGTTTCATGAGGGGCTTGCAAGCCGCCAATGAGCTGATCTCTTCACAACTCCCCAGAGAGCTCTGGACATGAACGTTCAGCCCCTCTCCTTCCTACAAAACCCTTTACATAAGTTGAGAGCATCTCCTTGCTGGCCTGGATTAGAGTTTAATGTCACATTGGACTTCAGACCTGCAAACGGGTTTTTCAAATTGAAATTAGCTGGATTTCTTGGCCAACGTCTCTCAAGGTTGTGGAGACCCTGGTGGTGTTTTCTGAATAATGAAGAAGCTTCTCAGAGTTTTGAAAACCGAGAGTAAACCACGAGGAAGGGAACAGACAGAGGAAGCTAAGTGACGCTAGACAAGAATGCGACCAGGAGAGGGACCCAAACAAAGGGTGGTGTGGCCGGTCACGGCTCAGGTAGGGTGCTCTTCTGGGTGCTGGATCTGAGTGGCGGGGCAGGACGACCAGGGCCAGGAGGGGGAGAGTCGGTAAGCAGGTGCTTACCAGTGCGGCTGCCAGACCGCACGCCCCACCTGCCTCCACAGAGGTGGTGAGCACTTGGCCCAGAGCAGTGGTTTTCGAACACCGAGAGGAGACCCGCTCATGGGTGAAACCCAGGCTGTGGGCTGTGAAAAACAGCAACAGAACAGAAAAGATAATGTTAAAAACAGAACAGGACTGAATAGAAAACATCAGTGTGCAAGGCCCGCACGAGAGAGAACTTTCGTGATGCATTTGTCTCAGTTATTTGTACACGCACGTGCTGTGCGGTCCTGGGAAGGGGTTTGTGGTGTGGTCTCTCTCTCACTCACTGTGGGTCTCCACCAGAAAGTTGGAAAGCCGCTGGACCCAGAGAACCCAGAGCCCAGGATGTTGCCCAAGAGCTGTTCTTGACATGGGGGCGGAGCAGAGGGCGGGGAGCTGGGAGTGGAGCTGGAACCTGGAAACCTCGATTTCTCTGCTGAGGACAGTAAAAGGAAAAGCCTGGGCTGGAAGGTGACACGCCAGAGAGACCGGGCCTGGGAGTGCCTCTGGGCCTTGTTCTCAGGGCGCTGGGTCCCCAGCTGCACTCAGGGTGTAGCTCAAGTGCAACCGTAAGTGCAACACTGGAGCCCAGGGCCGGGCGGGTAGCAGGCTTCTAGCTGCAGCAGAGTCTTCCAGGAACATCTCCGTCATCAGCCTCCCCCACAGGCAAGGGAGCCTCACCCCATCTCCTTCCCCCACTTTCCCACTGGCTGCAGAGGGGGCAGGGCTGGAGAGGAGGCCAGGAAGAGAGCATAAAGGGAAACTTGCTGGTCAGTGGGCCCAGATGGGGGCTCCTGCAGCTGGGGTGGGGGTGGGGGTGGGGGCCCCGCTCTCAGGCCCAGAGCCTCAGCTTCATCCAGCAGCAGAGCCGTCGCCTATGTGAGCATGTAGGGCGGCTTCTCATGGAAAGGGACAGGGTTGACGTTGGTCCAAGCCTGTGGGGGCAATTTTGGTCCAGCACGAAGCGGGTGGGTGGGTTCAGGTTGGCCCAGAGATATGAGGGACCCCTCTCACCCGCTCCTTCTGCAAGGTCCCTGCCTGTGCTCTCCTGTTCTCTCCTGTGGGCTGTGGGAGAAGGGTGGGAGGAGGCATTCAGCCACGGGGCCCTTCTGAAGCTTCTCGAACCACCTCTGCCCACGCGGTCACTGTGTGACCCTGCCCGCCTCCCAGTGCTCTGAGACTGGGAGAGAACATGCTCAAGTGGAAAAGACGCCCAACATCCTGGGGGAGAAAAGAAGAGTAGTCTGTCCCCCTGCATTTTTCATAGACAAGGAGCAGGTTGGGGCAGGAAGTCTCCACGGATGCGCCCCTACACGTGGCAATCAGACACAGACTGCTCGGGGCAGCCTCTGGGTCCTCTGAGGAGCTGCCTGCCCTGTGGTCTCTGGGTGGGATCCTGTCTCCTCTCTAGCCAAGGCCCATTCAGGCAGGACCCGCTGAGCACGTGTATCTGGTGCACGTGAGAGGCAGGGACAGAGAGAAAGAGGATGGGACAAGCACGCACAAGAGCACACATGTGCGCACACACATGCTCAGAGAAAACCATTCCCGGGCAAAAGCAAACAGGAAGAGCACAAGAACATCTCCGCATTAAATTCTCCAACGATCCTTTTAAATATATGACAAATAGTTAAAACAAAAGCCCATTTAGCTTTTATGCCTGTGATTCGTGGTATCCATTCCAGTTAATTACAGTAATTTAAAAACATCTGCATTTAATAAAGAACCTTCCTCTTCCCCTGTTCTCAGCCCCCCCCCAACACAATCTTTCTTCGGGCCACTGGGCTAACACTGTAATTATCATCTCCACCAGGCCGGGCCACAGCCGTCCAGTGTGGAAGAAGACAGACTTCGGGAGGCCCAGAGAACAGAGTGAGGCACGGGGCCCCGAGGAGAGAGCTGGGCCAGGACGCCTCTGGGGAAGAGGGGTGCGGAGGCAGGAGGGAGCCAGGCAGGCCCTCTCGCTAACAGAGGATGGTGGGAAGGTTCAAATCTAGGGACTAGGGAATGAATATATTCCAAGCCCTTCATTTATTCTGGCCCTTAGGCCTGCTTTATTTGACAAGAGACTGAGACAAGGCAGGGGACTTCACCTTTCACCCGGGGATCTCCCTTTGTTCCAAGGAGGGTTCTGGGGATAGAGAAGGGCAGGGGGCTGAGAACAGTGAGGGGGTAGAGAAGCCTCCAAACTGGGCTCCTGGTCCAGAGCCTTCTTTCATAAAATGTGATACTTGGTCCCTGGTTCCCTTCTACTGCCCTGGAGACATGTTTGTGGCTTCTGCTTTGGGTCATACCCATCATAGGCAACAGCGACTCCTTAGTGGGTGCCAGGAGGCTCGGTGGCCCAGGACACCTCAGCCCTGGGTGGGTTTGTCTAAGCTCCAACCTGCAGCTGACAAGCTGAAAGGCCCTCAGCTGGGGCTGCTCCTAGGAAAGGGGTGTGCCTGTCGGCCAGGCTGCCTGCCCAGAAATCTGGCTCCCACAGCTGCTGACCATGCTCAGAATACTGCCTCACCTCACCGCACAAGCCCCCTGCCTTCCAGGCCGAGGAAGGCCAGCCCCTATTACAGTGGGACTGCCCTGAGTGGCTGCCTCCAGCCTGATTTCAATGGAGGTGAAAAACGAAATGCTGACCCCACCTAGCAGTTCAGGGCTTTGGGACATCCTGGACATTTGGGGACCCTGGGAAGCTCACGATGGGCACAGGTGGAGGAGAAAGCAGCTTTGGGGAAGGCCAGTGAGGGTATGCGGAAGAGACCTCCAGCTCCCAGGATGGGTGTGAGGGAGAGTGGTGGGGGGCCGGGAAGGAGGAAGGCAGGTGCTTGGCTTCACCCCATCCTCCTTCCTGGTCGCAATACTTCCAGCCAGAAGTGACTGCTCCCCTGCAACCTACCCATAGCCCCCCATTTCATCATCCTGTGGGGGCAGAGACTCCTGGCACTAGTGGACAGACCATCAAACCCCAAAACTGCTTCAGGTCTCAGAGGCCTCCAGAAGAGGCCCGTTGGATAGATGCATGTGCAGAGAGCGGAGGTTGCCTGAGAGAGCCAACAGGGTACCCTGCACTAGCTAGAAGCGGACTTTGAGGACAGTCAGCCTGGGGTGCTCAGGAGCTGTGTGACTGCAGGCAGGTCACTGAGCCTCCCTGGGGACTGCCCAAGCCCAGCTGGAAGGATGGTGGCCGCGGCGTGCTTGCAAGAACCCTGTACTCAGGCCCTGACCGGCCAGCCGCCTCCCGTGAGCCCAGCCTCCCCTAGGTCAGTATCCCATCCCTGTTCCTTCTTTAAACTTGGAAATGAGAACGAGCTTTGCTTCTCGAGGTTGCTTTTGCCAAAGCTGCAGTGAGGGAAGCGGCATCAGAGAATGGGTCATCAGTGGGACGCAGGCCACCCCGCTGGGCCCCACTGCCACCCGCTGGGGACAGGCTCAGACAAAACCGCGGGGTCAGACCACTGGCGGGGCAGCGGGAGGACGAGGGGACCCCACCGGGCCTCCTGAGTGGCAAGCCAGATGGAGGGATCACCTGAGAACCCCACTAGGAGGGGTGCACCTGCCAGCCTGAGTGCCCAGGGGAGACAGGAAAGCCGACCGCTCAGGAGGGTTACTCCCTTGGGGAGAAAGGAGACATCTCTGCAGGCCTTCAGGGCGAATTTCTACCCTGCTGCCCCCTGGCCCCACCTCTCCCATGCCCTGCTTAGTTTTCCTCATCCCTGCTAAACCCTCACGTGTATTGGCTCCAAGAGGGCACTGCTGTGGCTGTCCTATCAGCCATTGTACCCCTGTGGCTGGGCCAGCGCTGGGCAGTGTGCGGCCTGGGCAAGCACGCATGGGGCTGGAATTGGGGGTGGGGGTGCATTGCATGTGGTCTCCCGAGGCCATGCGTGCCGTCTGGGGAG